TGTGCGGGCGAGCACTGAGGTCCATATCCGTTACGAAGGCTATGTAGCTTTCCGAGCCAGCACCAGGACTAGAACAGTGGGAGTGTCTTGGCAGCTTGGATTAGCATGGCCGTGGCCCTAGACCCTAGATCTCGCCGCAAGCCAAAACCCCAGCGACCTCCCACATCCGAAGGCACCATGAAGCTGCGCAACCATGCGCGACTGACGTGGCTTTGGATGCTGATCTTTGGACATTGGTCCAACGTTCCATGCCCTGTCCTATAGCTAGAATGACCACTAAAACGGAATCAAGAATTACCGTACGATAGAGTTTCGACTGCCACACAGGTCCGCCAGCAGTCGTCTGCTCCCTCATCTCAGGCGACGGCCATTGTAGGCCCTGAGCTTCGACACTGACATCGTCTCCAGCATCTTCGAGACGTGATTCGGCTTGATCTGAAGGCAAAAAGTTGCAGCAACTCGAGGAAACGACCGGTGGTGAGGTGCTAAGCTACCCCGTCTAATGAGCGTGTGTTCTCAATGCTTCGAAGACATAACTCACGTTGCGGATGATCTCCGTTCAACATCTTCACATCGGAGTTTACTTCGACCTGAAACTCTGAGCACTATGAAAGTGCGCACCCACTGGCAAAGGCGAGGAGCATCTCTGCAGGTCTTCTTCGGATCGCAAAGCAGCCGGTCGAAGGACTTCCGCAACGCCTCTTTGTATCCTGGGCCATTGGTTTGCCAAGAACTCGGTTTCGTATGGATATTTGGGTTTGTTAAGATTCATAGCAAACGCAAGGTGCAAGCGACTACCACAAACGCCCAGTGGCTTCGATAGCCCTTGTCAGCCTGCATCTTCATCACCTGGGTGGGCGTCAAGCAAATCATGCCACAAGGCGAATGACCAGAGACAACAGCTTGCTTTGCAGATTGCTCTGGACACAGCATGCGACATTGGTTTACACTGCGAGAAGTTATGACGAATGTCACCGTCCCGATGTGATGCCATGTCACAACAGTCACAGAGGGTGCCTCTACGAAGAAAGTTGAAGTTGACACGGCAATTTCTCTGCTTTCCGGGTGCAACCCGTCCCAGTTCGACGAAGTCGCGGAAGCTCCACTTCACACCCGAAGAGTTGTGTATCAGGCAGGCATAGCCCACGTCGTCGACAGGGTCATGTTGTGCGTGCGCAACAGGTCGCTTCGAGAACTCTGGAAAATTTTGCTCGTGTCAAGCATAAGGCATCCCGAGGGCCACCGCTCTCTCAATGTCAAGTTTGAAAGAAGCGTGTCCCTCCGCACGCGCGCGCATCCTTCCCACGATGGGCACGGAAACACTGCAACCCATGTGCTATGGAAGAGCTCAGTAAAGTCTGCTAGCAGAGTCGAGGCACCCGATCTATGCCTGCCTTGGCCAACGCCTTCGTCTGGAAGGAGCCATCGATGGCAAACCGCATCTTCCTTCCATAACCCTTCTGCCCTACCCGAGACCTGACTTCATCCGTTACAACAACACATTGCCGGCTCTCTCTACGTTCGCAAGCCTCGTTTGTCCTGCCGGAAGATGATACCACACCCGAAGGAAACAACATGTCAAGTCAAAGGAGGAAAACCAAGTCCCCTTTATGCCCACAGCTAGCCGCGTGGGTGCAGCACTCCAGCAGTGGAGCAACAGGATGCAACACTCGACACCCTTCCAAATGCCGCGGACCAAACCCTTCAGAGTGTCTTTCCCTCTGCATGTTCGTGCCTCGGAACCTTAAGCTTGTGGCCAGACCTGAGATGGGCGAGCTGGGCGACTAAATGAGCAAATCCCTAGGCCCTAAGACCAAAAACTGAGTGCAAGCCCCAGGTACAGGAGCTCCGAGCCAAACCGCTCAATGCAGACCATCCTTGTCAAGTGTCGAGACAAATTGCGGGGGTCGCTGGGGTCTGGTACTGGCACCTAGCCTCCGCATAGCTGCGCCTGTTTGTGTTGAGAAGCCTTGACGCCTGGAAAGTCCGCTTATGAGTTCTAGAAGTATTTGCTACTTGCATTCCGTCAAGCGGGCCGATGCCGAAGTGCACATCACGGCAAGCTCGAAGCTGTTGTTGAAGTCCATCATGACAAAGATGCGAGCTACACTCATAAAACCCATTCAAGTCCAATGTTGCTGACCACTCAGTGCACACCTGCACAGGCCCCCGCACACGCAAAGAACAACTGCCCGACATGGGTCAGTGGTTTGCTATGCGGTGCAGATTCAGTTGACATGGATCAATGCTTGGGGCCTCCAAAGACGAAAAGCCGGCCCCGAAAAAACAAGAAACAGACCACACTACGGAATATTAGTGTAGTATACCAGATCATACTGTATGGTATTATATCACATATTGGTAGTAGCACTACTACTTTAGGTTCTATCATGCTTTCTGCATACTGCATTATGTCACGCTCTTTCACATTCAATTTCATCATGTTACTTCTATTAAGTTACGAAAACCCCGACAGGCCCGGTCACTCGAAGGCCAAGGCGGCCATGCGCTTCCCGGGCTGACCATTCCTGGCAAAGGGACTCAGGAGTCCCCCCACACCCTCCCCTGCTCCCCCCTGCATGGTATCGGTCTGGTTTGTTTCGTCTCCGGGTCACGGAGAGGGCCGGGATCGAAGCAAGCCCTACGCAAGCCATGAACCCCATAATGTAGCGCTTGCTCATGCTTTTATTGACCTTAACCTGTACATCTAACCCTACACCGAACCCTGAACTCCGCCTAAATGCGGGCTCTAAGCCTAAAGCAGAACATAAACCGTCAACCCCAACGAACCTACACCCCAAAGCCTCCCTAAGGCCTTGTCTGCTCGAAGCAAAAGCCTAAACCCCAAAACTCAAAAACCCTAAACCCCAAAACCTCACAACCACCCCACAGGGGGAAGAGGGAAATCCTGCACTCTGGGGTCTCTGAGTTTAGCGTGTCTACGGCTTCGGGTTCAGTCTTGTCCCTGTCGCATGGCTAGGACCAGGATTAATGCGCACAATCTCGGGTTTCGGTTTCAGGGTCTAGTTTTATGTACCGAGGATAGGGGTGTAGGTCCGCAATATAGTACGGCACCCTTTTGAATAACAAAGACCCGAAAAGGGACGGTAATGGAGAGAACTACCCATATGCCGATCCAGGCTCCGAGCCCCTCCTTCCCTTTGAGCCATAATCTTTCAGGGAACTCTCTCTTGAACCCTGCACAAGGCTAAGTATACATTTATTCGATCTTTCTTGGATCTGTTTCTTCCCGATTGTCTGCAACACATCCCGGGTGCAATATCGCATAGGATCGAACGCAGTTTCCCGTTTGATGCCTGATCTCCCTCATTGCGACACTCCGTGGCTGGCCTTTGAGCCTCAGGGTCATCGGCGCCAGATCCAAATGTCTATACGAGGCATTCATATCTGTATGGAAATGGCGAAAGCGGGGTCGTATATCCTGCACGAATCAAAACCTGAACGAATCAAAACCTGTATGTGTGCAAATATGTATGTATGTATGTCTGTATATGTCTGTACGTACGTACTTACGCATGTACGTGTGCGTGCGCGGCTTTGAAAAGGATAGGGCTTTGTTTTTGCGCCGATGGGGAGGCGAGTTCCAGGTTCGTGTCCGCAGGTCTCGACGGGCTTCACGAATAATGAGGGGCCGAAGCCTAGATTGGAAGTGCAGCTCAGGAGCATCCACTGAGATCCAGCTGGCGAACTCACGTCCTTCGGATGGCCCCCGAAGGAAGCACACTCGGAACTGCTTTTTGAGCAAGGTCCTCTGAAGTGCCTCCAAGTTGCCTGCCTCATGGCTCGCGCATCAAGGAAGGCATGAAACACGCCAGACCACATTACAGCTCGGAACTGCTGAACATGAAACCTTCTCACGTCCAAACTCAATGATGTACAGCAAAGTAGCTCGGGCAATGCCATCGGGTCAAAGTATATGCTCAAAACTCGCGAGTCCTTCAGCACGCTGTCCCAGAAGCCACGGTACTGGATATGAGCTAGAGGGAGTCTGTGCTTGGAGAAGATACAGCGACCTGCTGTTGGACCACAGCCGCAAAATGGAGTGCTCATGAGTGCGCAGATTGATTCGACAAGGACTTGACAAGCCATTGTCTGAGAAATCACATAACAGCCCATGTCCAGATCTCGACACTGCGGCGAAACAGCCGGTGCTTTGCGCTGCTTGAGCTCCAGCCGGGAGTGGAGTATTAAATCTGAAAGAGGGTCACTCTGTCTAGCAGGAAGGGGTGGCCGCCGTGGCCGCACTTGTAATTGCACCAAGTTGCTTCAAGGCAATTGAAGGCCGAGAATTCGGGGCTACGGGAAACAGTAGATTTAGTGTTTATGCCTATGCTCTCACACTCGCACTGTACTCGCCCACAAATGACAAACAGGGGGACAGCATTACGGAACATCTTTCGTCTTTCGGAATGCGCCTTTGCCACCGCAAGTCGGTGTGCCCTCTACGATCGTGTACTTGCCGTTGTGGTCGTGCCTTTGCTGTCAGCGTGTGACAATGTCGACTGCTGTCAGGTTGCAGTTCGTTATGTTGCTGCATATGCAGACACGGCTTGGCTATCGCAGGCCTGCCTACGATGTTTGAGCACTTGGACGATCTCAGCGTACAGTACCGTCGAACTCTGTACGAACATGTGGAGAGGTTCACATCCCTTCAACACATCCTCCTAAATGTCGGAACGGTTCAATCAGAGAACTGTTGCTGCTGCGGTTCAGCCTGCTCCGATATCGGATTCCAATTTGTTTGTATACCTATACTGGAATTACTGGAATTCCTTGTGAAACAAGCCTGCTCACCGAAGCATGTCTTGTCGTTGCCACTGTAGCATTCAAAAAGACCTCCAGCAAACCACGGTCCAGACTGGAGAGCCGGATGTCTGTTTGACATTGATTTTGTGACGGCCTCAATGCAAGCCGCTTTTGGATCCGTGGCCCGACCCGCCTCTAAGGCCTTGTTTTCCAAAGCTTTCCAAAGCCGAGACCTCTGCAACGCTGAACTCCTTTTCTGACACGCCAGGAAGTCCCAGGTGCATGCTCTTTGTCCGGATCATTCCCTTATAGCCTGTGCAGGGAATACCTGGAGAAGGGTGGTCTCTTGCCTTCTGGGCTGAAGGCTTTGGGGAATGCCGTTCAGGCACAAGTTCAGCTGGATGCTTGACACAGAATATCCCGGTCAAACAAATAAAATCCCAATCGTACTCCAGCGAATGCGAAAGATCGACGGCAACTCCAATGGCAGTCATTGTCAAAGGCCCCCTGGAAACGACAACTAGTTCGAGGATGAGTGTTGGACATTCAAACCTCCTGAATTTCTCTCCAACTTGAACCGCCCTTGCCCCTCGCCTTTGGGCTGAAAACTCAGTTTGAGGTCGTCAGAGGGGTAGCACGTCCACTCGAGGTGGTAGGCGTCCTTCGGTGCAAACGGAATCCCGGGCTGTCCCCAGTTCCCAGTCGATGCGCAAGAAGAAGGATTGTTTTGAGCAAGCATCTGCATGCGGGTCTGACCGGACGACGCCGTGAAGACCGCCCTTGGGAGGCACCACGAACTCGTCGCAGTCCTCGGGACCGGTCCGATCAAAGGGCATTCAGTTGGGCCGATGCGGTCCTGAAGTCTTGGTAGGTTACATAAAGCAACCCTATCCAAGAGGGGAGTTTCCGCAAGAACAACCATGCCCTGGTCACCTGGACTCTTCGCTGATAGCAACCCAATCTAGAAATTCCTCGATACCCAGAACTTCGCACTTGAACCGAGTGTCAACATCCAGCAGGAAGTGTTCTTTGACCTTGGCTGATGCGATTCTTGCAAGCTCTGACCAGCCGAAAAATGGGAATTCACAGGCCGGGGACTGTCTAATGCTACACATAGGATGTTCTTGCGCTTGGCCTTCAGGTCCTATTTTATGGTTACGTGTTGGAGCTCCCTTATAGGTTTTCCCCCTTCATTCTCAGCTTGGTCGCCGCATGATAGTTCATCCGCTGCAGACCATGGCTTCGATAGCTGTCGACAAATGTCACCTCTGCAGAGCAAAAGTCAGGCATGACAGGCCCCCAACAAAAAGCACCACTTTGAGTCTCGCTTCCTGATGGTCTCTATGCTTCCCATCATCCAAGGCAGCTTCTGTTGAAGTCTTCATGCTCAGGGCAAATCGCGAACGGACATGCAGTGAATCTCAAGTCGCATTGAACCCTTCCAGCCCTTGGCCTATGACGCGAGAAAGAAGTCAAAGAAGACACCCCTGATCTTGACTCTGCAGACTGTAGCCAGCTTTTTGTAAAGAGATTTCAAAACGACGCTCACGGCTTGCAGTCAAACTTATAAGAAGCTGCAAGGACCGGACCCGCCTGATTGTCTGAGAAGCCGAAGCCTCTCACAGCAGCTCGGATGGCCTTCTCTTCCGACTTTTGCGTGCAGAAGAGATACCTTGCAGGTGCTGTCGTGAAATGTGTCAACGTCTAGCACCACGAATGCACAAATTTTATTGTACCAGTCCACGATTAGTGCAGATTCATGCTGATTCGAGTGGTGCTGCCAAGCTTTGCTAGACCCATCAACTGCATGTAGGTCTCCCACCCCGAAATCAAGACACCTGAAGATTCTAAGATTGGGGCAGCGGGTGCGCAACAGTGGAAGCAATAATCACTGACAGGCAACACCCGCTTGACCTTCACGTCATGCAGATAGTACTTCAGGAACTGCTTGAGATAGGGAAGCTCCGCTTCGTAGACGCGGGTCGTCACTGCGAAGGTCGGGGCGTTGGCCTCCTTCCGCAAGCAGAGGCGAACCCCGACCTCACATCCTGACCCCCCTACGCTTTTGCCCAATTCTCAATCAGCACCCTAAAATCACACCCTAAAAACCCGCATAACCCAAAAGCCCAAACCAAAGCGCCGAAACTAAAGCAGCACCTCAATACCCCCGACCTCAACATGAAAAATCCGAAGAGCACCCCATACCCCCGACCCCACATCCTATAAACCCCCCTCACGCTTTCACCCCATTTATCAAAGTATCAAACCGCCTACGAATTCACCCTTTCCAAAACCACAATACACAAGCACCTCAAGTCCCACGCCGAAATCCCAAACACAATCCAAAACACAAAACACCCCAAGTCCCACGCCGAAATCCCAAAAACCACATACTCAATAGCATTTAGCTAAATAGTTTTAGTAAAATCCTATAAATGGGAGCTTAGGGGTTAGCTTCTGTATTTTTTGGGGTTCTGGTTTTACGGGTTTGGGTATTGTCTGTGCTGTGAGGTCGGGGGTATATGGGGTGCTCTTCGGATTTATGGAAGGTTTCGGGTTGAGGTCGGGGGTATTGCGGGGCTGCTTTAGTTTCGGTGCTTTGGTCTGGGTTTTTGGGCTTTGTGGCTTTTTGGGCTTTGATTTGCGGGCGCCGGTTGAGAACTGGGGTAAACGCGTAGGGGCGGGGGGGGGGTCAGCATGTGAGGTCGGGGGTTCGCCTCTGCTTGCTCCTTCTCGTCCTGGGTGTCCTGCCACATTGCTCGTCGCCCCTAGCCTTGCCATAGCTGCTACTTATGCTACTTGCAGATAATGTTGCCGGATGGCACAGGCTGGTGACAAGTCTACGCTGCCAAGCTGGTCCTTGACTTGAACCTGCAGCAGCGAGGCCTCCTCGTCTGGCCTCAGCTCGGGTCAGTCGGAGCTGTGGCCGCGTTTCCATAAAGAATTGCTTCGGAACTGCACTGCTGTACCGCTGCGAGAGGATTCACACGCTTACCAGATCCGGCCAGTCACTCCGTGCTCTGCTTCATGCCTGCAGTCCTGAGAGAGGGAAGTGCACAGGCACAGTGCCAGTGAGGAAGCGAGAGATTCGCGGTGGATACCCACGATGTGTCAAATTACTGAACTTGATGCAACAAAAGCTAAGTCAATCCAGGAAAAGCTCCGAACAGAATCCGACTTAGCACCGGGTTCCACCAACATCCCGAGGCGCTTCCGCTCATCCAGTGCGAACTTTGCATGGCCGCGTTTCTCGGGCGACTGGCAGTGACCTGGCCAAACTACAGGCGAAGTTCCGCAAGCATGGCTGGTGGGTTTGAGAGTTTCTTTAATGCGGGCCAGCGTGTGCAACTTCGAACCAGGCTTCTAGCACAAATTGACGTTCACTGCAGCGAGCTTCCTCTATGGACAAAAACAGACGAATTGGCAACTCCCCACATACATGTCGGTCGATCTTTGCATCCATCTGCCTAGATGTCTGCATTGCACACATACTAAACCTATGCACACACACAGATAGATATATATATATATATCAGTTTACGCGATCTCCACCACTCACAAAGCTCGCTGAACAGCCCGCGATCGCACCACTTCTTTTATGCGACCGCAACGTGGGACTTGGTCGCATTGCCAATCAGATCAAAAATTCACTCGATCTTCACAAGTTCGAACGGAGCCCCGATCACCGGGTGTGCGCATTGCCATTGCCAACGATCGCAACATCAATCCGAACGAACACATCAGATGAGCGATATTCCCCGCAAACAAGATCAAAAGTCCTCTATGGGATCCGGGACTGAAGGCGATGGCTCCTCGATGGGATCGTCATCGAGAGGAGCTGCTCCTAGCAGGGCGATCAGCTCCCGCTCGGCTGCTCGAAAAGCAGCATCTGGGGCCGCCTTCGCTTTGGGGCGGCGCGGACCGGCCTGATACCCCGCCCCGCGAGCGATAAAACTGTTCGAGTTCTGAGCCGCGATCATGGCTGGGGTCGGCGGAGGCTTCGCTTTTGGCATAGTTCGAGGGCGTTGGGCTGCACGATCGGCAGCAGTCCGGCCCTGGAACGGCCGAGCTCCTTCGCTAGCCACATAAAAGACCGGATCATCGTAGCCACGGGGAGGATCGGCCCCGGCAGCAGGTGCATAACGAGCCGGATCACGATGGGCAGGAGGAACGGCCCACAGCTGCCCCCGACAGAAATGGCACATATTGAAAAGACGATCGCAGGTAGTACAAAGGGGCAGCCGATCGGCCGCGAAGCATTCACCCCAATCATTCCCGTCGCAATAGCACCCCGTGTAAAGACCACAGTCGACACAGGGGCGACAGAGCTCGTCTTGTCTACCAACCGCGAGAGCTTCCAGAGCGACTTGATCGGGGCCTAATTGGGGCCGATCGTCCATAGTAGACAAAAGAACAGAAAAGGGCGGAGTGGGTGGGTTCTT